AAAGGTCCCGCAGTTTGGCATGCGATCGTTGGGACTAAAGGTACCAGGATCATGTCATCCAGCATGGCCAGCCCAGGGAATGGCCCATGTCAGGGGGTTGACAACAGAGGAAGAACAACTGTCCGCGGCTGTCCAGCAACTCCAAGTCTCTGATCGGAAGTCCAAGGGCCAAAACACCAATATCTTGCCCGGCGAATCAGTCATTGATATGCTTGTCAAGTCGTTAGACACCCTCGGCATCATGAAATCTCTCCAGGATACAACCGATGATTACCAACCACCTCCACCTGAGCTTCGCCTGCCGGGGAAGCACTTTGAAAGTGGCCGCAAGCTGCGTTCGCGGATCAAACCTGAGCTACGAACATGCTTGCCTCTTGGGAGACAGAACGACGAGAGTGACGACGAGGTTCTCACGGCATCCACCCGAAAGCCTCACCCAGCTGTTGCTCGCTTATACAATTCCCTAGAGACCAACCTTTCCGCATACGACAGGTCTCAATGTGAAGAGCTCACTTGGGCGCAGAAATACGCGCCTATCCTTGCAGAAGAAGTGCTTCAAAGTGGCAAGGAGGGTGTACTTCTCAAGGAATGGCTCCAGACACTGAGGGTCCAGTCTGTCAATACCGGTACAGCAACCGCCGATCAGAAGTCGTCTGGTGCTAAGCCTGGATCTGCGACAAAGAAGAAGCGGAAGCGCAACAAGTTGGACAACTTCATTGTATCCGATGGCGACGAGACAGAGTTCCTGCCGAGTGTCTCTGATGATGACGAGGACGATTGGTTGCCTACCCATAGTCAAGGTGGTCCCAAGAAGACCGTGGTTCGCAGAGACATTGGCAAAGATCTCAGCCGACTAACCAATGCTGTTGTACTGAGCGGTCCGCATGGCTCTGGCAAGACTGCGGCGGTTTATGCGGTTGCAAAGGAACTGGGCTTCGAGATATTCGAGATCAATGCGAGCAGCCGCCGAAACGGCAAGGATGTGATGGAAAAGGTCGGAGACATGACACAAAACCATCTCGTCCAGCAAAATCGCCAAGGAAAGGATGACAGCAAAGCCGTGGACGACGAAACATCCAAAGACATTAAATCTGGCAAACAAAACACCATGATGTCCTTCTTCAAACCCAAAGCAGCGACCAAGCCTGAGTCGAAGCCTCAAGCCGAACCAAAACCCGAGCAGAAGACCGAGCAACCAGTTGAGGCACCCAAGACCACCAAGGCAAAGACCCAAAACCAGAAGCAGTCCTTGATTCTTCTTGAGGAAGTTGACGTTCTTTACGAAGAGGACAAGCAATTTTGGGCAACCATCATGAATTTGATTGTCCAGTCAAAGAGGCCCTTCGTCATGACCTGCAACGACGAGAATCTTGTTCCGTTCCACAACTTTGTCCTCTATGGCATCTTCCGATTCACACCTCCCCCTGAAGACCTGGCTGTAGACGTGCTTCTTCTCATCGCTGCGAATGAAGGCCATGCTCTGAAGCGCGCAGCTGTGAGTGCACTCTACGAGGCAAAGGGACACGACTTGCGGGCTTCTTTGATGGAACTCAACTACTGGTGCCAGCTTGGAGTTGGTGATCGACGGGGTGGCTTTGACTGGTTCTACCCGCGTTGGCCCAAAGGATGCGACAAAGATGAGAACGGCGATGTTGTCCGCGTTGTGAGTGAAGGGACATATCTAGAGGGAATGGGATGGATAAGCAGAGATCCTGCAGTCACCGGCAGCTCCCTTGCCTCTGAGGAGGAGTTGATGACACAGTGCTGGCAGGGCCTGGGCTTGGACTTGGGCAACTGGCATGATTCCCTCGACATGGCATCATGGGCCGAAAGCGTACACACTTCTTCCGCTGGAGACCGAGCTGCTGCACTTGATGTGTTCTGTGATTTCTCAGAGGCGATGTGTGCAGCTGATCTTTGCTCTGGTGGTGACTTTGGGCTCAGATTACAAGTAAGTGTGACTCGGTCCTTTTGGATGAGCAAAACTAACTGTCGACAGGAATCCCTTGACCCTACCCAGCCAGATATCTCAAGCAAGTCGCGCGATGACTTTGTCGTTGGACGGCGACTCCTTGAAGCACCTCCACTTACGACATTTACCTACACAGCCACCGCCATTTCCAACAGCCTCAAATCCGCCGCTCGTCAGACCCTCCAAGCTGCCCCCAGCAAAGCTGAGTCTGCAGTCAGCATGGATCACATCGGGGAGGGCAAGGCAATTCAGCAGATTCGGCGATCCTTCAACAAGCCAACGAAAGACACAGCCGTCTCACGATATGATATGAGTCTGGCGTTCGATCCGATTGCGGCTTCAGAGAAGGCACTGGCAAGCATGTCCAACAGTCTTGAGCCGTCGGTATTCGACAGGACTATGCGGATGATAACACTCGAAGTCGCACCATATGTGCGCAGCATTATCGGATACGATCACCGTTCAATGCAAGAGCGCCAGCAGAGAAGCTCGCTTGTCAGCGAGGGCGGCAGGCCTGGCAAGCGAATGCGCAGTACTCGAAGTGCGCTCTCGGCTCAAGAGGGCGTGGCGCGCGGTAGTACTCGCAGAGAGAGCTATTTTTCTGCCGAGCTGAGCACGCCTTTGGTCATGAGGACCGGGGGAGAGGGTTGGCAGGCGGCTTTGGATATGGAGATGAGGCTGATGCCGCGCCTACCAAGTGTTGCCCCGAGTGACACCAGTAATGAGATGGCAGCGCCAGTGTCGAGTGCCGAGGTACTCGTGCCGAATCCAGAGGTTCCGACGTTGAGCGCGGAGTAGACGAACATAATGATGGGTTGCATTCAGGAGCTGGAAAGCGGCACGCTTCAGGGAGTTGGTGGAAAGGCATTAGCAATGGCTCATTTCATCGATAGATAACACGGCTAGATGAGATTGAACTTGATGATTTTTTTTCAGCTTCTTCTGGTCCCCGCCGTCTTCAGTAGTAATCTGACCGTCGCCTCGACCTCCTGTCATCGTACACAGTTTCTGGCCTTCGCCCATCAGGAGACGGAAATCGGGCTGCGCCTCTCCTACTCCAGTCCTCAACGGCATCCTCCACCCTCCTCGACCGGTTGTCCTCGTCAAAGAACCTCTTGCTACTTTCCGCCTCCGACCTCCCAGACGTCTTCGTATACCTCACAATCTCATCCCTTGGCGGCCCCATGATGGCCTCTTCTGTCAGCCTCTGCCCCCTCGGCTCCTCGGCAAGACGGTACGTCCTGGGCGGAGGATTGTAATCGGAAAAGTACCCATCACTCTCGTCCTCATAATACCGCGGCCCCCTGCGCGGCGGTAGCCTCCGCGGAGGGCGGTCGTACTCGGGGACGTACCCGTTGTGTCTGTCGCGGACGACGTTGCGGCGGCGGGAGTGGCGGCCGGGGGCGTTGAGGGTGTCCCAGTGAGGGCCGCGGACCTCTGGGTGTTTGCGTTTGTGCCAGACGCGGTGGATGCAGATTGTGGCGACGGCGATGGCGGCGATGAGGACTGCCGTCGTCTTGAAGGAGGGCTTCTTCTTGGGGAGGCGAGGGCGGCGGTTATTGTTGTTGTTGTAGCTCCGTCGGGCATTGCGGGGGTGAGGGCCGGCTGAGGATGAGCGGGAGCGCGGTGGTGAGCGGGAACGAGATCGAGATCTTGAGCGGTAGGAGTCGGAGGAAGATACTGAGGAGGAGCGGCGGCTGCGGGAGGGAGGCATATTGTGAGATTTTTGATGTTGCCTGTGGTCGTGATGAGAATTTTGCTTCGGGTTGTTGCGAAGGCAGGTGAGATGTTGGCCGTCCTTCTCAAGCGGCGGTATATGAACCTTCCCTTTCCCTTCTCCGTCAAAGACAGATGAAGAAAGAAGGGCAAGCTATCAAAGACGAAAGAAAATCCCAAGGTGTGGAATTTATCAAAGGGAGAACCCTACACCGACGGACAACGACAGTGCGGTACGAGAGTTTGACGGCTTGAGCTTCGAGTTCCCCGGTGTCAGAGTCCGTACCTCCAGAGTCTGGAATTCGGTCCGAGCGAGGGTCAACCCGGCGTGTTGGTATTAACAGCGACGATTGCCAGTCAGATGAGGACGCGAAAACGGTGGCAGAGGTCGATAGGCAGAGTCAGAGCCGGTTTCTCGGGACGATGCCGCTTACACAGGGATTTATCCTGCGGTATGGCGCGAGTCGATGATATCAGCTGGGCGAAGTTTTTTTTGGGAGCGAATTCGGACAGTTTTGATGGGTGAGATGGCTGGGAAATGGCGACCGCCGGGCCGGTGAAGCGTGGATCGGACGGTCTGAGGGTTGAGGCGTACTTCGGATGTCGAGGCTATGCAGACGGGTGAGGCCTCGCTGCCTGGAGAGGGAAGGAGTGAGGTGAGAAACAGGACGGGAGGAGAGATGTCATATAATTTCAGCTTGTGTCAATACTGTGACTGTAATTAATGAGGCTAGTTTGATCTAGTCTAATTCTAACGGGCTTGACGCTTGTTGAGGACGCTGGTGAGAGAGGACACCAAATGTGTGGCTTTGTATTACGGCAAACTGGGTAGCGCGGTTCGGATGCCACATGGACCCGTCGTTGCGCAAAGCGGCAGGAAGAACAGACAGGGGAAGAGCGTGCGAGACAACCCCTGGCGCGGAAATCTTCCCCGGAAGGTTACTGCGCAAGGCACCGCACTCCTGGATCTGTCCCTGTTCCTTTTCTCTTTTCGTGGTCTGCCTGGGCATGCTGAGGGCGAGTTCCCCTCAGTCCTTAGATGGTGATGATGATGAGATCCGCGATGGGTTGCTTCGGCGGAAAGGCACGTCCCGTGAGGGTTTGATGGTGCGTTGGGTGGGTTACTGCTTACCGTCGCATTTTGGTTATGTTGTCACTCGGCCACGAGGGGAGTGATGGAATGTTACCGGAGATTGGGACTAGACGGCGCGTGGTCGTGACGTGATGGCTGGTGATTGGTCAATGCGTGGTGATGCTGAGCACCGGCGCGGGTGTGACGACACTTCGGGAGCTAGAGCGGTCGTGGAGATGGTCATTTCTGATGTTAGCTGGGAAGGAGGTTAGTGATCTATTGAGCGTTGCCTTTGATCTAAATTCAACCTTGACCCATGTGCTGACCATGACGACGACGCGACGAGAGTATAGGATAAGTAGGAAAGCTGAAGAAAGGTTTATTCCAATCCAGTATACGAAATTTCAATTACATCCCAACCTCTATAAGCTGTTTCCCCGTCTAAAGTAAAATACAAGACTGCCTCCCGAAGCATGTCTCCCATCTCTTCTCGTCCTTGTCAACTTTGTGCCAACTTCAAATCAGCCTAGTAATGATGGAAGACAAAAAGCAGACCCACAACATAACAAAGAAAAGAAGACTCTTGAGATCTAACCAAAGTCTCCCCATAACTTGCCTTCCCCTTCTTTCTCTCCTTACCCTCTTCTTGACTTCCTCCAAAGCCTGCAATTCCTCTGTTAACGACAGTTGCAGATACCAGCTAACAACATCGTCAAGCGCAACCTCAGCCTTCATCCTGCTGCGAGGGTTCGGCTCCAGCATCTTCTTCAAAAATTCGCTGAGTTGACAATGTCGGTGCTCATCACAACGCCCAGCCGCGTCCATTCTTAGTTCTGTGAAAGTGGCCGGCCAATCGTGAGATCCCCAGACCAAATTGCCATATTGTGGCCTCGCCGAGCGGCCGTACGAGTGCAGTTCAATCAAAGTCTGTCCAAGCATCCACACATCACTCTCTTTCGTCGGTTGATACTCACGCTTCTTGTTGCGGAACTCTGGCGGGGTGAACCGTCTTCCGGGAAGATCTTTCCAAGTCCATATGACCTTTGGCACAAGTCCATGGCCGATAAGCTTGAATCCCCTGCGCTTGTCTGGGTCGGCAGTCTCAGGGCGCTCGAAGGGAATGATGTTACTCGGGTGAACATACCCGTGCACTTGGCCCCGATCATGGAGATACGTAAGCGCAGACAGAATGTCCTTGGCCAGATACAATAGTTCTTCATCAGACATGTATGTTCCAGGCTCGATGCCCCTCCAGTCCGCTTCTTCGACCACCAGCATGTCTTGCTCTTTAATGTAGTCCTTGTAACGAACGATTGACTCCTAGATGTAGTTAGCATTGAGCCTTTCTGTCCCCTTAGAACCACAATTAGCGAGGGAGTGATGGTGACTTACAAAAGCAGTATCTTCACCCAGGGAAACTTCTTCCTTGGCAAACCGCTCCAGTTCACTCTTTTCCTCGGGGCTGCGGCCGACGAACTTGATGAACATCAAGTTGTTCTGACCTTGTTCCGCATTTAACTGGTGACCGTCGTGCAACTCGTAAACACTCTTCTGGTACCCATCTCTCTTCAAGCCCGTAGTCGTGTATCTGTTGGCTCTTCCGGCTTTATCTGGAACGCCAGCGAGGTTGTGGTATATGGGTGTCATATTGAAGTGTGAATCGTGGGTGGTGCTGTTCATTCGACAAGATGGCGGCGATATGGCATGTCTTTATATCACCTTCGTGAAGCAACCGATGCCTTCAATATCGCGGCCACGATGAAGCTACAGCTTGTCCATTCTGGTCCTCGAGGGCAGACCCGGTCTGAAACATCTCACCTCGTCGCTTTCTCAATGGTCTAAGATTCGGAATCATGAGGCAGGCCATATGGTAACCTCTCTATCGAAACCAAGGGCCCTTTCAACCTCTGGGCTGGCTTTAACACTTTGATCATTATTCCTCTCCACGCAAGGAACTCACAAATGATCAGTTGCATGTCACGAACTCTAAATGACATACAATTCAGGCACTCATTTTATTCCTTTGATCAGTCAAGGTAGGTGGCCATCTCACTTTCCCAGAAATGGTCCCAAGGACACCACCAGATTCACAAACTTGCAGACCCAGCATGGGCCGGGTGATGTGATAAGGTGAGGTCCTTGACGACCGACTAACCAACCGCTGCAAATTAGATGAAATCTACCGAAAAATGAGCACCCAAAGCTCTTTCATTTTCGCCTGAGCTTCATTTTTGACGTGGTTCAACAAAGCCTTCATACCACGCGGCCGTAGTTGACGAGTCGCTTTTCACCCAAGGGAGGGCGCCCTACAACTCCCACGAAGAGCCCAAGTCCGTCCCGAAAAGCATTCTTCATGTTGACGACATGATACGTTGGCTACCAAGTGGGACGATATGTTACCGCGTCTTATGTCGTGCGAACTCGTTTTAGGATGGGATTTATTTGGATGCTATGATATCGCCGTCAGACGCCAGGGCATCACCATGGCCGCGAACAGGAAAATGGCGTGGAAGACGATAATGACTTTTGTGATATTCAATTCCTGTCTTCCAACTAATATGATCGTGAACCCACAAGTCAATCAAATTGATCTATAGTCCATTCAATTTCTAACCCTGAAAAACACCCCTTTCCCTTCCTAAGCAGAAACTCGCTTCTCCCCCGATTCAAAAGTAAAGAAAGCAGATCCTATACAAATACAAACCAAACCACATCAAGAGAAACCTCTCAAAGCCTCTATTCACACGCGTGGACCACCACATCCACACTCTTCCCCTCGTAGTCGCCCGCCACCTCTCCGCCTTAGCCTTCTTGATAGCCTCCTTCATCTGCCTCTTCTCAGCACCCACCTGACCACCCTCAGCAGCCCTGAACTTCTCCTCAAGAAGTCCCGTCAACGCGTCCTCCGCTCGCGGCCGATCTCCCGGCTTGTCCTGCAGCAACTTGGCCACCAGCGCCTCGAGCCAGTTGTGCCAAACCCGCATGGCCGGTAACTCGCAGGCTACCTCTCTCGTCAGAACCTCCGAATACGCACTGATGGAGTGCGGGATACGTTTACACCGGGAGTCGTGGAGCTCCTCCAACATCGTCCCTAGCATCCATACGTCGCTCTCCCGCGTTGGCTTGTACCGGCCCCTTCCCGCGAACTCGGGCGCCGTGTACGTCTCGCCGGGACACTTCGCCCACTTGGAAAAGATGGCCGGCACGAGCCCGTGGCCGGAGAGTCTGTATCTATGCTGCCTATACCAGTCTCCACGGTGTTGAGTGGTGTCCACGTACGGAACGACATTTTGCGGCCGGACGTCTCCGTGGACGATGCCCAGGGCGTGGAGGTATGTCAGCGCGGAGAGCATGTCCACGGCCACGTTGACGATATCAGTATCTTCAAGTCCTCGTAATATACCGTTGGTCAGGGGACCTCTCCACGCGAACTGGAGCTTATCCATGACAAGCGCACACGGCAGGGTAGTGTTCTGACGAACCGCCTGTTTTCTGTCGCCGAACTCTTCGATGAAATCCTTGTACCGTACGACGCAATCCTGCTCCCACATTAGCAACCCAAACTGTCAGTAGGAAGAAATAACTCACAAAAGAAGCATCCTCGCTCAGCTCCATCTCTCGTCCAACCAGCTTCCGCAAATGCCTCGTCTGCTCCCGAGTGAGAGGCTCACGGGGACTGAGAAACATGAGATCGTCCCCTCCGCCGGCGCCGCTGCCTCGAGACCCGAACCGCAGGTCATAGACGCCGTTGTTCTGGCAAACGCGTTTGACAGCGTAGACCCTATGACTCTCGCCTTTGCGCTCAGCGCCGATGGCGTAAAACGTATCATCGACAGGCCTCATTTCGGACTGAGTGTGTATCTTGATTATGTGAATGATTTGTGCGAGGCGTTTCTAATAATGACGATTTCGATGAAGGTATATCAATCCATAATCCGGTACGCCTGGCTCCTCTATATATCCTAACAAATCACCAATAAAACGACCGCCATCGTGAATCGTATACAGCGCGCGTCTCGTCGATCCGAGTCGTGGTATACAGACCCGGCCTGATACATCCTCCACCGCCCAATGACCCAAGGCTGGACAGACCAACCCGGCCATACACCATGACCAGTCTCTCGTGACAAGTCGAATCGACATGCTCGCCATCGGCCGGACAATTGGGTTTTGGGCAGTTCGGCCACTCTTTGTGCCGTGGGATCTGCCGTCCAATTCACACGATAGAACCAAGGAAATCTTTGTCCCAAAAGACCTTAGATCGACAGGTCGTCTTTTACCTTCATCCAACGAAGCGCCTCTATTCCCGCAAAAAGATCTAAAGGATAGAAAAGGTGTTTCTTTCTGTCCTCTTTCTATCCCTTCGCAATAAATTGACCAACAGAGACCACCGCCACCACCAGCCCTTTCAACATCTACATGTATCAACACTGCTCTTCGACCACCCATCGCGACCATCAGGCCGCGAGCATGGCTTTCCATCCCATCATCAGCCCCCTCTCTCCTGGGGGCCTAGACTATCACGAATATCAGACGTACCAAGCAAGCTGAAAAAAAAAAACTCCTTTATTGCATTCAAGTCTGACCAGTCAGCTCCAAGCTGGTCATCGGGCACAAGTCCGATCCTCTCCAACGCTCTCAGCCAATTCCCTTAGTCATACAGTATTCGTGTGGACTAAGCACTCTTCACACCGTGTTCGCAGCGACATCATCAAATTCGAATTGTCACTGCCACTTTTTAATTGGCCAATGCCACAACTCAATGCATTTCTCACCACCAATCATCATTTCAGACGTTTTCATTTCCAATGCCCCTGCAGTTTTACTGATTTGATTTGTCTTGATCTTTCATGATCTAGTGCTGTCATTGCTGACATTTTGCATCTATCTACTCTCGTCAGCTGGTTGACGCCGTCGGAAGAACCAAAAATCCTGAATCTTCCTACCCATGCCAGGGTTGTTCTTTTGTGCATAGGATGCACTCGGGTAGATATTACACGGAACCAAGTCCTCCTCCTCATTGTCCCACCCACCAGTTCCAATCCACGGTAAAAGATGGAAGACATGATAACTCCTGCCTGATGCAAATTTTGAGAAGAATAAATGTGACCCATGGGTTTCATCCTTTTCGTCACCCCAGTACCATTTGTCCTCAAACATCAAAAGAATTCCGGCCGTTGCTCAGACTGGTCGTAAAAATGAGGCCCTTCCGACGCCGTAAACAATGCAATGCTGATAAGACAATAACCAAGTTGAAAAATCCCATGTAAACCATGCTTCGAAAATGTGTCAAGTACGTAGTGTTGGGAAGTACCCCCACGCCTAGTTGGGGTACGGTCCCTGAGGAAGACCATGGGGAATCTGAGACATCTGGCTCATTCTGTAGGGGTTGTTCATGAACTCGGGAACAACTCCAGTTCGTAGGTCGTTGCGCCTGCCAAGAGGCTGGTAGTGCATCTGCGTGGTCGGCAGGTGATACTCGTTCAGAGAGGCCGACGGCGGTGGGTAGAGTAGGGTGTTGACGTGACGGATCGGCTTGTACGGACTCGGTCGCTGTTGCAGGTAAACGCTAGGCGAGTGAGAGATGGGCGTATGCGCAATAGGGGTGTGGATGACAGAGGCCGGGAATTGCTCGCCCAGTGGTGATGAAGCGTAGACCGACAGGCTGCCGGGGCTGTGTCTCTTGGTTGGCGTGCCGTAGCCGATGGCAGGATGCATCGGGACAGTAGCTGGCGTGAGCGAAGCCTGAGGCATTGAGACGGGCGCTGGCATCGGCAGCTGAGGCATCGATGTGGTGGCCGCCGCAGAAGGATAGACAGTCGCCATTGCGCGAACTCCGTTACCCAGAGGTGGAAGCGAGACATGACCCTGCGAAGCGTACGTGGTTGTCGGGGGATACACCATTTGCGAGGAAGCAGGGTTGGTGTTGAGCGTCAAGTTGGGAACCGGGAGACGTATCGGCTGCTCGCCAACAACAGGGGGTCGGGCGACAGAAGGCATGGTGGTGGGCTGTCTCGACAATCGCTTCGCTGGGGGTTCGGTAACATCCTCCTCTGATCCCCTCTTCCTGCCGTTCATGTTGGCGTGCTTACCAGACAAGGGCGAGACAGGTGGGTTGTAAGTCGAGGGCCATGCTTGGGCGCTCGGTTGGGTGACGGTGCTGGGCGAGAAGATAGCGGTAGCAGAAGGGGTCAAGGGAGGGAACGAGACGGCAGGCTGCATGGCGGCGGTGGGCGACGGCACCGGTGAGGTGAAGGACTTGTTCAGAGGCGATGTCGGTTGCTTCTGAGCACGCTCGTAATACTCGGAAAAACAGGCCAGCTTGACCAACCATTCCTCCCACTGGTCCTTGGTAGCCAGCAGACTGTAGCGCATGTTGCTGAGGAATTCCACTTCCATTACGTGGATCTCCTGTACCGAGATACCCGAGACTTCGGCCCACGTCTTGTTCGTGTAGGTGTTGTCGTCCAAGACTAGAATCCAGTCAGCGTTTGCGTCCACAGCCAATAGAAAAGTTGCACTCACATTTGTTGCCCAGCATCAAGGCCACCGTCAGCAATCGATACTCGCTGCCGGATCGGCCCTTAACCACCGGGTTCGTCGTCTTCAGCCTGTAGACGAAAAGCAAAGCCAGCAGAATGACGTTTTGCGTCACTTGTGTCGTCGACAGAACGCTGTAGGCCCATTTCTTGAACTGGGGAAAGGGCGTCGCATACTCGGTCAAGCGGGGGACGGTAGCGGTAGGAGGACGGGATCGGATCTTTTCGGCGGCTCGCAGCGTGTCCATCGATTCGAACCAGAAGAGGCACGTAATCTGCATATTGTCAGTGCTTTTGTCCATCTATGCAAAGAGGTGAGTCAATCTTACTTCGGCGGCGAAGTCTGCCAGATTACCGCCCTTGGGGTTGATACAGCTGGGGATTTGCAGACTGTGCAAGACCAAGGTAGAGGAGCCTCTCCGTGAAGAGGTGCCATCAGTCTTGTTGATGGCGCCTGATGTCGGTGTCGACGGGCGGGTAGAGTGCTTCGAGGTGGTGGAGTACTGGCTAGTAGCGGAGGCAGGGTTTACCACCGGCTGTGGTTGGGGGTAGGTATTTGTCGACTGAGGGTATCTGGGGTACTGGGGTGCTCTCGCAGCCTCGGCGACGACGGCCTTGGGCCCCCTGGCCTGGGCAACGGCTGAAGGGTAGGAGGAGAGAACATGGCTGTCGTAGGCGACGAGTTGAGGGGCGTGGTATGCAGCGCTCATGGCTTCGGTTGGCGGCGTGCGAAGCCCGCTCCTGCGAAGAGCAGCTCCGGCACCGAGATTGAACCTGGCGTTCTTTTGCGAGGAGGCGGCGTGGTAGGTTTGCTGAGAGTAGCTCTGTCTGCACGATGCGATTTGTGCAGGAGAGAGGGGCAGGCTGTAGAAGGGCAATGGCGCAGCAGTCGAACACATCGGAGCGGGGGAGAGACGGGTTCGTGAGAGAGGAAGACCTCAGGTTGGTCGTTCGCGGCGTGGGTGAGTGAAAGTTGGTCGAGTGATTCGGTGGAGTTGAGAGCGAGTCGAGGAGAGCGCGAGTGAAGGGGAAGCCAAAGCTGACGTCTGCTACATTTGCAGTAGAAGCAGGTGGCAGGCACTTGAGGTTGGCGGTTCACTGAGGAAGCTTGGTGGTGTCTTGCGGAGGGCAGAAATCTAGAGGATCGAGTCAGGAGAGAAGTCTACCGTACTCGAATGCTTCGCAGCTTCGTCGGGTTCGCTGTCGGGGCGTGGGTGGTTTGTTGGGAGTAAGTTGGTATTCCGAAATATTATTTGAAAGCTCCTAATTGTTGGCCATGGTAGGGGGTTTCGGAGATGCCTTCCTCAAAACGAGAAGTCGTTGCTGTGGTCTGCCGGCAAGGTGGGGGGAGCTTGCGAGGCAGTTTTGCGGCAGGCGCAATACAAGTCAAGACAAGCTGGGGAGGCTCAAGAGGTACTTGAGACTGGCTCGCGGATATCTCGTGGGAGCGTGAGGACGAGAAGAATGCGAAGCTCGGCGGCGGATTAGGTGAAGGTGAAGAAGTAGAGTCGGGCGAGGCAGAGGTCGGGGGTGAAGTTCAGATCGTCCGTGTAAATGAGGTAGGCAGGTGGGTTGTTGCTCGCGGGCGTCGTCAATGAGGGCCGTGATTCGGTAGGCTGCAGGAGGGCAGGGCAGTTGGTTGTCGTCTCAAGGCAAAGGCTTGGAGGGCAAAGGCAGGGCCAGTTGCACTTGAGCAGGCTGGTGGAATTGTATTGTATGAAGTAGTTGGCAATTGAAGAAGAGGTGTGAGGTCAGACAAGGAGACGGAGTGAAGCAAGTGAATGGGGTCAAAAGGGATCAAGAGGCGGCAGGTACGAAGCGAAGCAGCCAGCTGGAGCTGGGTAGATTGAAGCAAAAAATGGAGGCAAGGGTCTAGTGATATGGTTGCGTCGTTCGTTGTCTGGACTCTCATTTCTTGGAGTAGTGGTGTATCCAATCCGCGCCGTGTGCCGTACGAAGTACAGAGCGTATGGGTCGTTGTGGTAAGGTACAGGAGGCATGGCCGTGGCATGGGACAGCATGGGATTGGGGGAGAGGAAGGGGGGGGGGGGGGGGGGGGGGGTCGCCATGGATGGATAGGGAAGGCTTCACGGTGGGCAGGTACCTTGTTCCATGTCGCTAGGTACGTACCTGCCTTTTGTGAGGTGAGGTTTCTTACGGCGGTAGGTTCCCTGCGATGATGAGGTGGAAAGAGTGAGAGGGGGGGGGGGGGGGGCAGGAGGGACGGACTGACTGAATGCCCTGTCTGTCTGCGATGGAATCGGTACTTTACGCAGCAGAAGAAGGTATCCGTAAACGCAGGTA